AGCTCCACCCATGTTGTTGCAAATGGTAGGATTTGTTTTCTTCTTATGGCTGAATAATGTTCCATTGTGTGTATGTACCACATCTTCTTTATCCATTCATCTACTATACCAGCTTTCTTTCGATTGACATTTGCATATTATATTGTTTCATTATTTTACTTACAACCTTTCTGTCACCTTATATTTCACAGGCCTCGCTTACAAGCAGCATCATGTGTTATGTATTGATTGGTTGATGAAAACATTGTGACTAGTGAGTTACAGAAACCTAACCCTGTTATTTCTCCTAGGAGCAAAGATTCAGAATTTACTAATTCAATGTTTGTAGCAACTTTATAGAACCTAACTACTAAGAATACTGAGGATCAACTGTATTGTGAACCTGTGGATTGTGCTAGCTTCTCTCTAGGCAGATTCAGTGTGCAGGTGAGTGGGAAGACATGAAATACAACACATATTATCATGGACCAAATGCATGGTTTGTTTAATAGTGAGCAGATGCCCCATTCTCCAGTGACGGGAAGCAAAGAGGGAATGCCTTTTTCTCACTCCTTCAGTGAGCAAAAATTTTCTAGAATATTTCCATTGGAAATTTTATGTCATAAGATGGGAGTGCTGTGCCCTCAGTAAAAGTTCTGAGGCACAAAAGTTTATGTGTTCAAAGGTCTTCTCCATATAGGAGTGCGTTTAACACAAACATTAAGAGCATGGGCTCTGTGGTGTCCGGTTACCCTGCGCTTAGATTCATATAGTCCCACTGCTCCCTTCTGATCTGACTTCAGCTAATAAGCTAACGTCTCTGAGCCTCAGTTTCCTGAGGACAATAACAGAATCTACTCCAGAGCAGTGTTGTGAGGTTCACAGGAATGATTAAATTAACCTGGGGTGGGCACACAGGAGTGTCCAACATGTACTGGCCAATATTATTAAATTTTTGGAAACCTGAATTTCATTTCCCCTGAGAATGGTAAAACTGAAAGTTTGAAAGAAGAAAGATAGATTCAATAAAATATCCATACAGTCTCCCTTGTACGGATCCCCTCTCACTTCTCCACTCCTTTGTCCCCAGCATGTCTTTCAGAAGCCCAAGGAACGCTTGTTCTGACATACCACATGCAAATCCCGGCCCAGCCTTGGTTTGGACATCCTTTCCTGGATAAAGAACAAGGCATGATTAAGGGCGAGGAGCGGGGCGGGGAGAAGGGGCAGCTCCCACTCTGACAGGTCCCGCTGGGCAGAGCTCACTCCCCACCTCTCCTCTCCGTTCCCCCTCCTACCTCACCTGGTCCTGGGATCAGTTTTAAAGTGACTGCCTGACAACTTCCTTAGGGCATATATAGAGCAGCTAATGAATCCAGACCACAGCTTTTGATTGTCATTACAAAATTGGCATTACAAACACAGTACATCAGAGCTAGATGACTCTTAAAGATCATCTGGACAGGGGGTGGCAAGTGCCTGTCCTCCTACATGCCCAGAGATGCCCCTCTCCACTGAGCACTGTGGACTCCTTCGCCACAGCCCTCCCAGAGGTGGGTCAGCGCCCGAGCTGGGCTCAGGGTTCAGTTCTCCTGGCCCAGAGCTCCCTTCATTCTCTGGAGGCCACCACCCACACAACCGGGTTTCTGTGGGTCACTGTCAGCCTCACAGGTTCTCAGCATGAAACAGAGAGATGGCCTCTTGGGGCGTATCATGTGGCTCAGGCCCTGGAGTCTGAGTGTCAAGCTTTGAATACCTGCTCTGCTATTTACTAGGCATGTTACCGGGCATGTGGCTTCACCTACTGAGCCCGACTTTTCTCATCTGGATCAGATGATAAAGGTACTGCCAGGATTATATGTGAAGCATTCATCACACATCCCGGCACAGAGCAAGCATTCAAAAATATCAGCTTGCTTCTTTACTGTTGCTGTCCTCGCTCGGACCACTTATCACACCTTTCTCAGAACATCCGCTTGGCCTTGCCCTGTCTACTTAGGACCCCAAGCAAACGAAGTTAACCGGACAGTAAACAGCAGCATCTGTGTGGGTACTCACCAGATCAATTATGCCGATATTATTCCAGCCTTGCATTATAGGGAGAAAAGAGATAAACATGGGGATGAGCCAGCAGCCGCCCAGCATTAATGCGATGCGCAGGGGGGTCATCTTGTTCCTGTAGACCAGAGGCTGGCAGCAGATGGCATAATACCTGGGGAGAGCACAGAGGGGGGTGCCGTGAGCAAGGAGGAGAGAGGGGAGAGGAGCGGAGATGAGAAGAGGAAACACTGGGAAAGATAAGAAGAGGAGGAAGTAGAGAATAAAAATAAGGAAGGGAGAAAAGATAAAAAGGTAGGGGGGAAAAAAGTGGGTAGTAGAGGAAGGAGCGGGGGGTGGGAGTGAGGAACGAACAGAGAAAGGAAAAAGGCGATTACACAGTAAGATGTCCTATTGGCCACCAAGTGTCTCTCTGCCGATAGAAAGGCAACGTCGGATCCCGTCTGAGCATCACGGCCTGCAGTGCGCCCCGCGTCCCTTTTCCTCTCCGACACCCACGCCTCAGGATCTGCCACAGGCCCAGTTCCAGCACTGCCCTCGGGGGCTTCTGGGCGGCCCTCTGGGCCCGAGGGTCGGGCACCCGCAGCCCTCTGACCACGCCTTCACGTCCCCCAGGCTCGGCCCTGCACCGGAGCTCCGTGGAGCTGTGTCTCAGGCTTGGCCCCACCCTCCTGCCCTCCTGCCCTCCTGCCCACGCAGCAGTGAGCTTCTCAGTGGGTGCTCCGGAGACTGTGCCCCACGAGTCCCACCCTGCTCTCCTGCGTCAGACTCACCTGAGGGGGCCTATAAAAATGCAAATGCCAGGGACCTCTTGAATCAGACCCCACTGAGGATAAGCCTGCATTCTGACAAGCGTGCATTTCACACGCTGCTGTGTGCTAGGTGTGTGCAGCTGCCCCTTCTGGGGGCATGCACTTCCTGGCCTCCTTGAGGTCGGGTGGGGCCACGGGACTGGTCTGGCCAAGGAGTTACGAGCAGCATTGACATGTGTCACTCTGGACTGTACCATTTAATTGTTTCTTTCATGCCAAGAATGCAAAATTTCAAACATTTCCTGTTCAGTCACTTCCTACCTAACGGTACAGACCACCTCACCCCCATTTATAGGGGTCGGCCCTTCCTCAGGGGATTCGTTGCTCACCCTTTTTCGAGTCCACGTTCTGCCCACTTAAACTAGCTTTCTTTTTACCTCCAGAAATGCAACGTGCCCTAGATTGACTCACTGATCTGGTCTCTGAGTTAACTCCCAGGCTGCTCCTTGCGTGTCATTCTAGCCACAGAGAGCCCACTTCGTGTGCCCAGGCAGCTCCTGGGATTTGATAAGAGGCGAAATGCCACAGTAGGTCTATCAGCTATTTGCTGGGACAGTCAAGAATAAGTGCACAGGGGCAGCCTGTAGGCTAACTCTATTCTTTAAGACTTTATACCATTTAACGTGAACCGCCCCCAGAAACCCCTCATTTTACACATTTCACTTTGTTCATTTTTTCCCACCTCTTCCTTTCTTTTCTTAATTCAAAGCATAGCTGCTGTAACCACGGCTCTATGTTCTTTGAAGAGGTCGTGGTAGGATGAGCCGGGAGAGAGGGCGGAACGAGAGGAGCCCAGGGCTGCAGCATGAGAAGTGGTGCCCCAGGAACTGGGAGCGAGAATCACACCCTCCCCTCCAGGGCAGCAGGTGGCAGCTGACCACCCTGGGCCAGAGTGACCGTGGCTGTCCTGACTTAGATCGGAGTGCAGGAAAAGGCCAAAGAACGGGAGAGGGGCTTACTCGGGAGCACATCATCTCTACCTGCAGCGCTGACGCGGTGACCAAAGCTGGCTGACAACGACTTGGCAACCCTCCATGCCCTTCACTTGGAGAAAGGAGACTTGGAGTGACAAAGGTCTCTGAGTGGCTATATCAATGATCATCACAGGGTTTGCATCCACACAGTTAATGATTATTTTGGAGTACATGAAAACCTTTTTCCCAGTGTCGCTCCCTTACTCATTTCCTGCTACAGGGTTTAAACTAGGCATTTGGTTTTGTCCATTCAGCACCCTTCCTGCTTCTCTTGGTAACAGCACCCTGAATCCTTTGGGAAATTCCTGTGTTGCTTTCACGTTGTTGGGAAAGCAAACGAGGGGACTCTGAATAGCGCGCAGAGCGTTGCAGAGATGCAAAGTCAGGGCAGGTCCGTCTGTTTGCCCAGCAGCCTCCTGGTGGGGTCGGGAGCAGCTCCTTGGGTCGCTGGGCAACCAGAATCGTGTCCCTTCAGGCCCTCATTCTTCAGTTCTTCCTTCAATTAAATAAGCCACCGCATGTCTTTCCAGTTAATTCCCTTTTTGCTTAAGTTGTTGTAATAGTTGAATTGCATCTCCCCTCTCCCAAAAGATAGGCTGAAGTCCTAACCCTCAGTACCTTGGAATATGACCTTAATCGGAAACAGGATCTTTACAAAGAGAATAAAATTAAAATGAGGATTTTAGGGTGGGCCCCAAGCTAATATGACTACTGTCCTTATGAAAAGGGAAATTTGGACATAGAGACAGACATGCTCAGAGAGAAGACGTGAGACGGAGGACTGGAGTGATGCCTCTGCAGACCAAGGGGCACCAAAGTTTGCCAGCAAACCGCCTGGAGCTGGGGAGAGACAGAAGCTCGTTCCCTCATCAGTTTCAAAGGGAGCCCTGCTGTGCCAACACCTTGATTTCAGATTTCCAGAACTGAGACAACGAATTCCCTGTTGCTCTTAGCCACCGGGTTTATGTTACTTTGTGAATGACGGCTCTAGCCAACTAACAGCGCTGGCTCAAGGCAGTCTCCTGCAGCCAAAGTGTCCTGCCTCAGAACAAAATGCTTTTGAATGCCAGACATGTTCTTCACAGATACTTTGTTCTAAGTGAGAATATCTTTATTTATCCAGTGGACTTACTTCCAGATCATAACTCAAGTTACTGCATCTCTTCATCTGCCAGCCCATGGGAGGTACTTGAGGGATTAGTGAAAAATAGATGCTTGCCCTATCTTTGCTGTATGATTTATGATATCTGAGGTTTGGAACAGGTGCCAAGATGTTGAGTAAAGACAAAATTTTAGGAATTTAGGTTGGATCTCCAATGTCACATAAATCCGAAAGTTAAAAAAGACAAGGTTGAATTAAATATCTTGTGGGATAAGGTAGGTTTGAACAAGTGGATGTCTTCTTACCTGAGACAATTCTCTTGATTCCTGTAAGTGGATGTGGATATTTAGAGGGTTATGTTGGAAAGACAACAGAATTACAGAAAACGACTTTAGAATATGTGATTATATTGCTCAGAACATTTTTCATGAAAGCCTTTCTTTCTAAGTCTATCTTGGCCTGATTCCCATGACATGACGGATATCCTGTGGACAATAAGACCTCCCTATGTTCTGCTGTCCAAAAATTGTATGTGTTAATTTGTATTATCCTTGGTTACTAGAAGCTGCTGCTACAGAGAAATAAATAGAGGTGAATTTCCTTTTGAAATTCAGCTTCAAGGGGGATACTGTGAAATGTAGTACACATTTCACCAATCCCTTACAAATTTTACTGTGCGGTGTCCTGGACAATGAATGGTTGAAATGAAGTTGCTTGGACAGCTCATTCCATAGGGGCTAAGATAGGACACACCCACAGTCTCTTGCACAGACGGAAGTAGAAAGCCACTCTTGCATGATGTGGAGTGGTGGAGTAAGCCTGGGAAAAGTCCTTTATCTTTTACTTTAAAAATTAGCAATAAGTAAAGGGTAAAAAAAAGAATTTTATTTTATTTAAATCAGATTGGCTAAATTGTGAGTGATAGGTAAAGATGGATAAGAAAAATGCCAAATTGGGTCTAGGGATGTGTTTTACTTAAATCTTTTCTTCTACATCTTGTTCAATCTGGTGCTCTAACTTATAATAAACAAGATTTTATTTTTAAGTAGAATGGAGTAGATAATAAGGTGTTCATCTAGGGCTTAAATTATAGCACCTACTTGACTTCATGAGGTCAAGATTCTCACCAAGGCCTAGGCACTTTTGAGGAGGCTGCTCTGAACAAACCACCTCATATCCATCTATAATCTTTCCTCACAATATTCTAATCCTTGCTTTCTAATAAAGAATTGAGAAAAATAAACATTCTCTTGAAGGCTGCATTCAAGAATCTAAATTAAGTAGGTGAAAATAAACTTCAATGAATAACAATAAAAATTGAGTTCTAGCATTAACTGACTAATAGGGATTCCTTACAATTCCAACTTTTGTCTAGAGACCAAGGACCAAATAGAATTCGGATAATGTGATTTTTATCTATCATGGTCGCCTTTTAATTCCTGTATTTGGATTACATGACCCTGCAAATAACAAAAATATTTAAACTATCATGAACTGTCCCCAAAACACATGTACGACACCATTGGACAGAAGTAGCTAGTCACATCCACAAGTTCTCTGGAGGTCAGGCAAAGCACACCGGCTGAGCTAACTAGCTACTGTTCATTTCCTTACCAAGGGTCCTACCTGTATTATCTCATTTATTCCTCACAACTATTTTTGAGACAGGCACTAAAAATGCACCCATTTCACAGATGAGGAAACAGACACACCGAAGGGTCAGTATTTGTCCGAGGTCCCACAGGTAGTAAGAGCTAAGCTGGGATCTAGTACAGGCAGCCTGAGTCAAGGGCCAGGACTGAGGCCTCATCACTGCCACTTCACTCCGCTTCCCCTCTTAAATCCTCAAGAGATTATTCTGATTCTTTAAAAGCCACTTTAGAAACAACAGAACCCTGCTTCTCAGAATTTGAAGGATCTTCAGAATCTTGAAATCCCCAAATCCCTCTGAAATGAAGTGCATCCAAGCCTTCACGAATGGGAATTCACCAAGTCCTACCATAGTGCACTCTAAACAGGAGGCTGTGCTGAGGTAGGAAAGTTTCCTCCAAAATCAATTTTCTGTCCTTCTAATTTTATTTACCCTCCGGCTCAGTTTAAAATCACTGTCTCCAATTCTTTTTCTGCACAGTGGTCCTGCAGACTTCTGAAAAGGGTGTTTAGATTCTTCTGAAGTCTTACTTTCTGAAGGTAAAAAATACCCCCAGTTATAATCGCCCTGAGTTGATTTTGCTCACTAGGGGACATTTGGCAAAGTCTGGGGACATTATTTTTTTTCATAACTGGGAAGGGCGATGCTATTAGCATCCAGTGGGCAGAGGTCAGGGATGCTGCTAAATGCCTTACAATGCCCAAGACAGCCCCCCACCCCACCCCAGAAACAAAGAATCATCTTATCGGCAATGTCAGCAGTGCTGAGGTTGAGAAATCCTGCTTTAGAAGAGGTGATTTTCACCAGTGGCAGGGACTCCGTGCCCACAGTATGTGCCACAGTGCGCCACTACATCTTAAGAGTACATGCCACAAGGGGTACATCCTGTACGGATCAGAGAAGACTAGTATGTCATGTCACCTTCCACCCGGCCCACCGTAACTGAGTACAGCCGGGGAGACCCTCAGCAGTACTGGACACCTGCATCCCGTCAAAGAGCTTCGACCTAGAAGGGGAGGC